AGCGCCGCCGTCTCTCGCACAACAATGCCCTGTCGCGCCGCATCACGCCGCAACCAAACCACGACCAGCAAAAGGGCCTCTCTCCCACCGACCACGACTCGCACGACGATGCCGACAGCGGTCGCTCATCTCAGAACTCGAATGCCACCCGTGGCTCCTTTTCGTCGCTGATCAACTACGACCCCTCGTCACAACAGCACATCTCACACCAACATCAACACCACCAACCCACCTCGTCGTCCGCCTNNCCATGTCCATCCGCACTGCAGCTCAGACTCTACGCTTACGTCTACGCATCGCCATCTACANAGGTCCGCACCAACCAGATCAACGTGCCTTTTTCGCGTCTGCAGATCATGGCCAAGCAACCCACACGACAACAACCTCCTCCTCAACCACAAGCCCCTCCCTCTCCCGACGCCCTGCCCATGGCTCCCCCACCACTACGTCCCTACAACGACAAACACACACATGGTGCCGAGCCCCAGCCTCAAGCCCAACAAGCCCTCTTCTCCACACCGAACATCTTCTCAAACCGCTTCATGCCGTTCAACGCCCCCTCGAGCTCGCCGCCGCTGGCACACGACCCCCTGCCGCGTATTGCAAGAGAGGCACAGGCGCGTATGGCCGCCGCCGCTGCTGCCGCAGATAGGGATAGTCTGGACTCTGAGGCTACCGAGTTGGCCGATGATCACGATGAACATCCTGTTGCCGAGAGCCCGCTGGATAGGTCTAGGAGGCATCATATGCTACCGCAGACTTGAGAGCTTTGGTCTGTACACTCTTTTTGCTCGTCTACAATGGGCGATGGGCGGGCTGCTGTTTGCGTTTTGATGCGCGTTTCTTGATGAATTCCCGATCTTTTTGGTGGTTGGACTGGGGGCTGCGGCTTTTGTTCTTGATATCCGATCTTGCCTTTGCAGGTCACCTTTTTATTTTTTCCTGTCATCCCAAGCTTATGCACTTTATTGTCAACGTCTTACTATCTACTACTTTTGTTCTTACTATTGACTTTTTTTCCATGTCTCACACTTTTTCTTCTCTTTTCTTTTCTGCGTTTTGCACAAGAACGCTGCCCATGTTTTATTTGCGGTTTCTGATGGGTCGATGGGTGGAACATGGAGGTCTTTTATGCGAGCACAAGAATGAGATCTAGTCATTCTCGCAATCGTTGTGTCTCCGGGTCCTTTTTCTTATCGGCATCACTGCTGTGATATCAGTGTTCCAATTGACACGGCTCTCGATAGCTTTCGAAAACACAGGACCAGGCGCTTCTGGTGGCGATCGCTCTTTCCAGCGACTGCTGGCTGGCTGTACTTTTGAGAGTCTATGAAGAAGAGGCAAGGGGAGTAGTTTGGGTCAATGATATGATACTGAGAGACTTTTATGTGCAGATGTTTGTTACACATATTCATGGACCTGGGGAACCTGCTTCCAGAGACAGTAACTTGACTGACGAGATATCTGAGATGCCGCGTCGTGCCATTGTCGCTGTCGTGCCGTATAGGAAAGCCGAGTGCACGTACATAGTGTTCTGATGATGGAAAGAGACTCCAGATGAAGTATTCAAGAATGTATCAGACAAACAGGTTTATGTAATGTCTCAAGTCAGGATAAGTTAGTAGTTAAACTCATAGTACGCAGTTAGAAGATGTCTCGGATTTGATCATTCTCGTCTTGCCGGCAGTTGCTCTGCTTGAGTAGTCGACTATAAGGAACAGTCTGTCATATCCTGTTGTTCTGATATTACTGACAACGGACTTTCGCGCAGAATGGTCGTCGCAAATGTATGCAAGGCGCATGTGAAACGCCGCTCGTCATGATCCACCTCAGAGCAGCTAATCATGATCTTTAGTCAAGCACTCCATCTTTCCTCCTTCCGCACTTGTGCCTCCACCACAGCAAAACAACGTCAATCCTATCAAGTCATGCTACAAGGGCGTGCCGAATCATAACATCAAGACCTATACACTCAGTAAGATTCACCATGTCGCTGTGGCGGTAAGTCAATGTCGTTCTTTCCCTTGTCTCTCAATCGAGAAGAAAAGCAGTCTTTTACCTCTGCCGCAAGACCGATTTTCCTTACTCTCATACACTTCATCTCCTACCCTTTTCCAATCTCTCCTTGATTTCCTCTTCACATTTCGATAACCCCCCTCTCAATTATGGCTTCTCGTCAAACACCTTTGTTCTACCACCTCGCCTATCAACCCCCTTCTATAAACCCACTAACCAATACTCTAGCTACTACACCTCCTTGTCACCAAAAACACGCCTCATGGTCGGCGGCGGGATAATCGGCTACGCGACACTAGGTCTCTTTCTCGCCGACACGGCAGAAGAAAAACTGGGATACACGCCTAGCGAACAAGATAAAAAGCGTCTTAGGGAAGCAATGCCAAGGATAAGGGTTGTGGAGGAGTGATGGGGGGAAAAGGCGAGATGGATGGTGAAGAAGGAGATGAGAAGTAGCCAAGGAGAAGGCGTGAATGGTGATAGAAGATGGAAAATATTCATCAAGCAGAGATGGTGAGAGTGGCACCCTGACGATAAATCATGAAGAAGGAGATTAGCTTGATGAGAGCTGTGGTCTTGGCTGTTTGCTTGTGGATAGTTCAGAAGGGAATTCTTACGCCTGCTTGGAGGTATATGGCTGCTTGAGAGCGAGAATTAAATAGTAATGGTGGTGTTTTGTGAATATATGCCTTCAGCTACGAACTCGACAAGCAAAGCCCTTGATAGTCAACATGTGCTGAAGCTCATTCGTCAAGTATAATGCCCAATGCCTATCCAGTCTCGAGCTAGGAAGCTACATAAGGTAGAAGTCATGCAGGAATCTACATCATACATGGAGTCGCACAGAGCGATTTTCGATATCGAAGTTCAGTTCATGAAAGACCGTCACGCGAACGCCGCCGCACCGCCACGTCCTACGACCCACGAACGATTCTGTCTCCTAGCGACTACACTCAAACATATCATGTGATTAAGGCACACACGCGGGTGAGGGCGAGAAGCAACATATATCCGCACATCAGAGAACGGTATACAACTTCCATCCTCTCATCCATGAGTCTTTGCTTGGCAAAAGCCAAAGCCAGACATTAGCCCTCGTTTCCCATCGAAGATATAGATCACTGATTTCGGTATTCTGCCGCTACCGCCAACACGCCAAAACGCGCTAACAAGCGAAAAAAGACCGTCACTACTACTGTGTGCAAGACTTTCGATAACTGATAGCGTCAAGCCTGATTTGCGACGCACGCATCGGAATTTGTTCAAGCATCGCAGGTTGGCATCGAGAGACATCGTACAAAGGAATTTGTGGAGAAATGATGCGGCAACAGAGAAGAGCTTGGCACACATGCACGTGTCGTTCGCGATTGAATTATGACGAATATCCGACTCCCGGACGCATACCGCGTGTCGAGGCACTACTGGAGGGTCGTTCTCTTTGAGGTCTCTAAGAAAATGCACCTGCCGTGTTGGGTGGGTGGATACATGCGGCTTTGGTTTGAGGGGACGCTTGACAGCTCAGCTTTGTGGACCCTCCTCGGTAGTGCGCCGGGAGCTTGGGTGCATGGCTTGTTGTGAAAGTCGAGGCGGTCACGAATGTGGCTTGGTTGAGCTGTAATTGAGGCTCTAGGAAAGTGAAGAGGGGATACTCCGTGAGCTGAGACGCGAGAAGAATGACTCGTGGTATCGCATGAGACTGGCAGTATGAGAATGCCGAAGGCAGACGCCATCAAGGTGCTCAGATCAATACGTGAAGGTAGGCAATCCTCCAGCCAGAGCGCCTTTTGACCGCCAGTATTGCCTGACCGATTTTGTATTCGGGCTGACATGTATGCGCGTTCTGTTCGCCTTGTACTCGAGGTTTCGGTGTTTGTTGTCATGGTTGAGCGCAAACAAGCCTCTTTTGGAGAAATCTGAGGTCCATCGAAAACTGCTATCATCGATCCCATGTTCCAGCCCCCTCCTCGCGTAACCACATTCCTCCGATTTCCCCGATGCAAATCTCAGATGCACAGAACAATACGCGATTTACAAGTCCGTTGGCTTTTTCTCGTGCCGAGAAGCAAACAAAACATGATGCATGCAATCAACTGATTGAGGAAAAAGAGGGAACGATAAAAGCGCTCGAGAGGGGCTGATGTGTGATGGAAGGGATGGAAGCAATCGAATTCCATGCTGCTGAATCTGACAAAGTCGAGCTAGATCTCCCGATTACCGAACGGTGACACGTCCCATTGGTTCGGCAATGCACTCCGAGTCTGGAACGTCACTTTTGATTTTGGCTTTGGCTTTTGTGAACGACGTCTGCCGCCTGTTTGCTAGAGACTAGATAAATTGGTTGGTTGAGCTCGTTGTAACATTTTGTCATCCTCTCGAATGTTCGCGTTCGATTCGTAGCAGTCGTGGCTCATGATGTGTGCGTATCACCGGGCTATTTCGTAAAGGCAAAGCATGCGCCGACCATTCGAAGGCAAAGGATGGAAAGTGACTCTAAATATGGGCTTTGTGGTTCCCATCATACGACACAGCACATATCCTGCGCATGTCATGGCTCGTCTGCCCTCTTACCCGGATGTCAAGTGCCGTTGGCACAGGAAACACGCACAGCGTACCAGCATCAAAAGTCGGAGTGCGACTCCCAGGGATTTGGGTCCAACCATTATGATATCGGACTTCGCATGTGTGCCTGATCACCGATCCTTTCGCGTGCATTGCACTGCGTTTCCTCTTTGTGACATTGGTTCCTTCTTTTTCCGTTTCGAATTTGCCTTTGTAGCTGGATACCATGAAGACCGTCGGGTCACCCGAGGTGGATGCCAGTCATAGCATGCAGCCGTTGATGAGATACGGCTGTGGTCGTAGTGTGGGTCGTAATGCGGGTCGCGGTCGCGGTCAAGGTAAAGGAATTCGACCAGGTGGCTTTGTCGGTGTAGCTGATCGAGAACAAGGTCATTGGTCGTTCCCGCTACTCCAGACAGTGTCTGTCAGCCCCCAAATCCCGACTGCCTTCGACCCATTGGTTGTCCAGTGCCAGGGTCAACGTTTCCATTCGTCCAGTGGGTTTGCGACATCTGCGGGTTGTAGAGATAAGGATTCTGCGATGGTCCGGCTTGACCATCTGTCTTCGTCCAGTCTTGAACGTTGGCTTGGTAGGATTCTTGTTGGATATGAGACGAGTCCTGGAACGGCCAGATCTCTGCNTCTAAGAAGGAGTTAGCATAAGTACTGATTGAAGTACACACAATTCCTGGAAAACGGAGCCCACTTATTTAAGAGGCTTTATGCACAATGGCTGCACATCACCGAGGATGGGACTGACAAGAAAGGGACAATGCCACTCACAGGCTCTGTAAAGTCGAACCATTGGTGCCTGGGAAACTGTACAGGGTCTGCTGACCGAGGCGAGGATCGATCATCAAAGGAGCTTGCTGCGTCGGGCTTGTGTAGTCTGTGATAGAGAGAGAGTCTGTGTACAAGTTGGAATCGCCGTCTTGTTGGTCTTGAGACTGGGCCGACATGGGCGACAGGTTGGAAAGTGCGCCGTCTTCCAGGAGTTGGTCCGAGGGTCGTTTTCTCGAAGGTGGTCGCGATTTGCGGAGCGTTCTGGCGTAGGTTTCTACATCTGGACACTCCCTCAGCCGACGAAGGTGTTCGAAGGCTTCCATCTCTGGTGTAGCATGCAAAGCGTTGTAGACAAGTTCATAGTCAGAATTCCGTTCGCCCAACTCCTTGTTTCGACGACGCACGCCTTCGACTCGTGATATGCCTGCTTCCGAGTCGTAGACACAAGATTGACCTCTTTGTTGACAGAGCATACACATAGGTCGCTCACCACTGCACTAGATGGGTTGTGATTAACAGAGGCCCTCGTTGAGCCAATTCGAGGCATTTCTCACTTTTACTTTGCGCCTCTGACATGACTGACATGCGGCCTTGACGAGCTGTCGTTTTGGTCTGGTAGACGACGATGCATCCGTGCTCATCTTGCGAGTGCAGGACTCGAATGCCAGGGATTGAAGGCGCTGCGGTGAAATGCGTAAACGACAGTGGTAATGCGAGGTCCAGATATAGTCGGTAAAGTGGAGAGTCTTGTACTTGGTTGTGCATGAGAATTGCCAATGTTCAATGAGCCAGCCCCCAGATAAGTCTCCCGAAGTGCCGTAAGCTGTTCAAATCGACGATGCGAATCGTCGGTTTCGTCGGGCACAGATCTGTGGGTTTTGTTTCCGAATCCTGACGCGCCAATTCGAGGGCTGTTGATATGAGTCTTCTAGAAACAACGGCAGAAGCGTCAGGTCAGAGAGAAGTGTGCAGGAATTCCAGATGGGAGCAGCGTTGTTAAGAAGAGGAAAGATATTCGGTTGGAATGGCAAAGCCTTCTTCGGACTCGACTCCGAACGGGCAGGTTGTCAAGATGGCCGGACCTGGTTCTCAGAGGAACACTGTAGGGGCGAACTGGCTTGTTGTTAGAAACGTTTTGGCTAGGTGCAGTGTCGAACGAGCGACTCCAGAGTGCTAAGCAGGGATCCACTCTCGATGGTCTGCTTGCGGTTTTGTGAAAGATTCCAGTCAGGGTAGGCACTGCCGCCGCAGCAGTACCAGCCTGCGACCACAGACCCATCGTCTTATATTGCGGCATCTGCTGTGGCGATGCGTAGACCCGGCACACTCTGACAAGATGATCCACTTGCTAGACCTGAGTTGGGAGGACAGACGGGGAGTCGGTCAAGCAGGCCTGGCATCCGCTTAAGCGCCTGTTCGGGCCAACATCACGAGCTGAGCGTCCACCTAGGGCATTCATCGTACGTGCGAGCGAGGAAGGTTCAAAAAAGCAGGCCGTGGGATTTCTGTAGGCTCTTCTGTCTTTTGCTGCTCCTTCTGTCACCCATGTAGGTGATCCGGGATCCCCTAGCGACTTCTGAACGTCCACGGCAGACCTCCCGCTTCCGAGGACGAATGCCATCGACGACCCTGAATACGGACTACCCTCTGCTCACCCTCGTCCCAATAGCATTCTCGTGTTGACATGACCATGGTCTCGAGGTGGCAGTTTCGCCTTTCACACTCCCCGACTCACACCAAATTGACTCGCCACCTCGTTTTTCGAGGAAGTGAGAAGTAGCCACTCCACTGTGGCTTTGCGTTGCTACAACTGCCCGGCACTTCTTCGTTACATATATAATCATGCTTGCAATTCGGAAAGTCATTATAAAGTAAACAGCGTCACTCAAAGCTTGCTCTTGCTGACAACGCTGCTGTTGCCCTTGCCAATACACGACACGGCGTCACTAACCATCTCATCAACAATCTGCTTGGCCGACTGTCGTTCGTTGACGACAGCGGCAGCCTTGCCCATGAGGAAAGGTCGAGCATTATCCATAGTGTCATCGTCAAGATCATCACCTAGGCTCTCGAGATCGTGCTCGACAGGAATGACACCCTCGGATGTCAGCTTCTTGATCTCGGCCTGTCTCTCATTCTCCCACTTCTCAATGTACGGGTTCTTTCGCACACGAAGCGGGCGTCCGGTGAAGATGATGGTGCGGACATTGTCGTCGAAGCCAGAGGTGCGGACCGCCTCCTGATGAGCCTTGCTGGCGCCGGCCTCCTCACTGAGTACAAAGCGAGTACCGATCCACACAGCGGTGGCACCGAGCATGAGGGCGGCTGCCAACGACTGGCCGTTGAAGAGACCACCAGCAGCAATGACCTGCACCGGCTTGCCGGTCAAGGGACTCTTGTGACCTTCACACATCTTGACGACGGTGGGGATCAGAATAGTTGTAGGCACATCGCCAGTATGTCCACCTCCTTCTCCACCCTGGGCGCAGATCATGTCGACACCAATGTCGAGACATTTCTTGACGTGCTTGGGGTGACCGATCATGTTCATGTACAGGATTCCAGCTTTGTGTAGTTTCTCGACAATGTGCTTTGGGGGGACACCGACGGCCGAGACGAAGAGGGAGGCCTTGGAGTCGATGATGATGTCGACGAGTTCGTCAAGTTTGCCCTTGGTGTAGTCGTAGCTNGCGATTCCTGTCAGTACTGGAGACTGCTCGCTTCGGAAGGAACACGCGTACTTTGTCTTTCTGGCACTACCACCTACTTGCGGAAGCAGAAGATCAACGCCGAACGGAGCGTTCTTGTCCTTGAGATAACTCTTGAGTTCGGCAATCTGCTCGCGCAGCATGTCTGGTGTGTAGCCAACTCCGCCGATGACACCCAAGCCGCCAGCATTTGTGACGGCAGCGGCAAGTTTCGGACCAGCGGCGACGTTCATGCCAGCCAGCATGACGGGGTGGTTGATCTTCAGGAGATCGGTCGTGGTGGTTCGGATTTGCTCTGCGTCTCGTCAGCAAGCGTCGGGTGTTGTCCTGTGGGTCTTCGTACGTGGAGATGCCATATCGAGCGTTGACAATAATGTGGTGTGTGATCTGGGATGGTCAGGAGCCGAGCAGGGGGTGCGCGAGACAGATGTATGGATGGGAGGAGAGGAGACAGGCACGACCGAGGACTAACAAGTCTTGATCACCAGATGCCGAGGCATCTTGACACTCCGCAGCAACATCCTTTGACATGATCAGCTGCCGTCACCAGACTTGCGGCCGATTTCCTGTTGTTTGCGTCTTGTCTGGGAAAAGCCTCTTCCTTTCTATCATGTACACTGAAACTGTCATCGTGTAACTGCATGAGAGAATGAATATTTGACGAGTCAAGTGCAAGATGAATGTTTATGCTGCCCTGACAGGCGCACAAGCCTCAAAAGCGGGGCGTCTGGGGAAGCTTTTCGGATCTGCTGTCCAGCCTTCCGGACAGGGTCTCCTTTCACGTGCCTCCATGCACCACCTTGGAGCAGCCTCACATCTCGCTCCGAGGTCGAGTCTGCCTTGCTATTATCCTCTTTCCTTGCCAATCTGATGATAATATACGGAGGGAGTCACCACCTTCTCACGACTTGTCAATCTTCTCAAGCTGCGGGATACTGGATTTTCCTCTTCCGCTATCGGATCTCTTGCTTGCAGCTCAACCCGCTTTCGCCCACCGGCCGAAAAATTCACCACCATCCTTGGTCCTCTTTACCGACACAACATAAAGTCCCGGAATGAGATACGCCATCACGACGACCAGATTGTCTCGTAGATGCGCTCAAGCACATAGCCATCGTTTTCTTTCTTTATCCTCACCCAGCCGTACTTGTCATCACTTTGCACAGACGACCGTACCAACACGGGCCTACCCATCTCTACCTCGAAGGAGTGGCTTGATGTTACAACAAGAAAAGACCCAAACATCGGCCATGCCACTGCTTCGTCGTACCATGTCTACTGATGCAAAGGTCCGTCGAAGGGCATACATTGCTCTTGGCAGCAATGTAGGCGACAGGCTTGACATGATTGAGAAAGCATGTCTGGCGCTCGACCAGCACCCAGACATCAAAATTACCCGAACAAGTTCGCTCTACGAGACCGAGCCCATGTACGTCGAGGACCAGGCTTGCTTTCTGAACGGCGCCTGCGAGGTTGGAGCTTTCTTCACATCGCTTGTTGAGATGACGACTGACTTTCGAGGACAGGTAGAAACCACACTAGAGCCAATGCCTCTACTGGATAGGTTGCAGGCCATCGAGAACGAGCTAGGACGTGTCAAGCTCATCGACAAGGGACCCCGAAGCATCGACCTCGATATTCTGTTGTACGAAGATCAAGTGATTGATACCGATCGCCTGAAGGTACCGCATATCCTAATGCTCGAGAGAGAGTTTGTGCTTCGTCCTCTGTGCGAGTGAGTGCTTCTTCCATTTTCTACAAAGTTTGACTGCCATGTCTCATTCATCCTCAGCATTATTCCAGATACGACACCTCCAATCGGTCAAACACAAGTGCCTCTTTCGGAGAGTTTGCGAAAACTGGCATCTTCTCCTTCCACCCCCATTTCAACCACAACGAGTATGGGAGAGAACACGTTTTCCATTCGCGCTCTGGAGAATACACGTCCCACGCACGTCATGTCCATTCTCAACACCACTCCTGACTCATTCTCGGATGGAGGTCTCAATTCACCAACAGACGAACTGGCGCTCCGAACGACGATTGCATCTCATATCCGTGCTGGTGCTACATTCATCGATATAGGCGGACAATCGTCCCGCCCCAATGCTCCGGACGTGACGGCGGCGGAAGAGATCCAGCGCGTCCTGCCTGCCATCAAGGTCATCAAATCTCTGCCAGAAGGGTCCAACACTTGCATCAGCATCGACACGTATCGTGCAACAGTGGCTGAGGCAGCTATCAAGGCTGGAGCACATATTATCAATGACATTTCTGGGGGTCTACTTGACGCCGACATGCTCCCTACAGTTGGCCGCATGGGCTGCACCGTGTGCTTGATGCACATGAGGGGTACCCCGGCGACAATGACCAGTGCAGAAAACTGTTCGTATCCTGATGGTCTAATCCCTACGATAGCCAGAGAACTCCTGGATCGTGTCAAAGCTGCGGAAGAAGCTGGCATTCGTCGTTGGCGCATAGTGCTCGACCCGGGAATTGGATTTGCCAAGACGACCGAACAAAATCTGGAAATCCTCAGACGTATGGGTGAACTCAGAACGTGGCCTGGTTTGGCCGGTCTCCCATGGCTCTTGGGCAGCAGCAGAAAGGGCTTCATCGGCAAGATTACTGGAGTCAAGGACGCAAAAGAGCGCACATGGGGCACGGCGGCGACGGTGGCAGCAGCTGTTCAAGGTGGAGCAGACATAGTGCGTGTGCATGATGTGGACGAGATGATCAAAGTGACCAAGATGTCGGACGCGATTTGGAGGACATGAGGTTTATCAGTGGAGACGTCGTTGGAAGATTAGAGTACAAACACTCTGGCCCTGCTGGCCGCCAAAAGTGAAGGTGGGATACTTGGCCTCATCGAAGAACTGCAGCTCGCCGTCGGGAGCGACAAACCAGTTCATGACCTCCTCTTTGGTCCAGTTGCAGGAGGTGATGATGAAGAATTGACCAGGCTTGATGAGGGGAGTAATGTGTTCGCGGTAGGATTCGCAGATACGGCGGCCCTGAGCGTCTGTTTCGGAGGAGAGCGAGATGGCGTCAAAAGTGCCCTTGTCCAACACAGCATCGAAGCCTTCGGCTAGCCATTCTCCTGGCTGGTGGTTCAGAAGATCCCATTCCTCGAAGCGCACAGGAGCACCCTCTTCGCTGCGGCCTCGAGCGATCTGGCGGGCGAGCTTGACGCTGGTGTCGCTGTAGTCGACGCCGACCAGTTCCCCAGCCCAGTCTTCGTCCAGCAGGGAAAAGAGCATGTGTCCATTGCCGGTTCCCAAGTCGAGGATGCGCGAGTCGTCTTTGCTGAGCAGACCCTCGTCTTCCAGAGCTTCCAGACGCTCAACGACCTTGTCTTCGGCGCCGCTGTCGTCGAACCAGATGGTGCCCTCGTCTTGTGCGTCCTGTTGGTGGTTTGCGATTTCACGTGCGTAGGCGTCGTCCCAACTGCGCCGTCAATCAGCTGTCTTCTTGTCGCATGACGCTGGGTCTGGAGAGGCGTACTATTGCTTGGTACCGAGCTCGCTGGGGTCGAGGTGGGAGCGCATGGTAGCTGTGTTCTACGGATGACACAGTCGAGTGTAAATTTGTCTAGGAAAGAATAAAAGAAAATCAATGTTGGACCTTCACATGCGGCGGTGCTCGGTGGTGCCAACGGGCCGCACAGACTTGGCATGACGGTGGGCAGCGACTTGGACTTGTTGGCTTGAGGCTCAGCACGAGTCCAAGCAGCTCCTGACACGCATGCCAATTGGAGAATCTACAACTGACACTCCGATTTCCCGGATGCCGTGAACCCATCAGAACACGTCTGTCCTTTACCCTCTTGTCGCATCGCCGTGACCGACGCACACTCGACTTGCTTGAACCCTGACCGCTGCCCTTCCCCGGACACGCAAGCCTCCCGTCATGGCCGCCGCATACTCTGCAAGTGCTCCGGGTACCCTCCCTCCAACCATGTCGACTTCGAACGCTCCTCCAGGCACCTTCGCCCCGGGCACCAAGGTCCAGGTCGGCTCACACCGCGTCGTCATCGAAAAGTACTTCTCCGAGGGAGGCTTCGCTCACGTCTACACCGTCCGCGTACCACCGAAAGATGCCTCTAGCAAACACACCATTGCCGTGCTCAAAAGAGTCGCCGTGCCGGACAAGGATGCCCTGGCCAACATGCGTACCGAGGTCGAGACGATGAAGAAGCTCCAGGGCCACAAGCACATTGTCACATACATCGACAGCCACGCCAGTCAGCTGAAAGGAGGTGGCTACGAGGTCTTTTTGCTCATGGAGTTTTGCTCGGGCGGCGGTCTGATTGACTTTATGAACACGCGCCTGCAGCACCGCTTGACCGAGCCCGAGATCCTCAACATCTTTGGCGACGTCAGCGAGGGTGTCGCGACCATGCACTACCTCAAGCCGCCGCTCTTGCACAGAGACTTGAAGGTCGAGAACGTGCTCATCACAAACTCGTCAAAAGGTGCCATCTACAAGCTTTGCGATTTCGGCAGTACCGCTCCTCCGCGACCTGCTGCCACCAACGCCCAGGAAGGCAGGATGATCGAGGAAGACATCCAACGTCACACCACCATGCAGTATCGCAGTCCCGAAATGGTCGATGTCTGGCGCCGGCAGCCCATCGACGAGAAGAGTGACATTTGGGCGCTGGGCGTCTTGTTGTACAAGTTGTGCTACTATACCACTCCTTTCGAGGAGGTTGGCCAGATGGCCATCTTGAATGCCTCGTTCAAGTATCCGCACTACCCTGCTTTTTCCTCTCGCCTCAAGGCCTTGATTGGTCAGTAATCTGTCGCCGGATCATGCGCGCTCTACTAATCTGTCCGTTGCANNGGCTCTTGTTTGCGAGAAGACCCTCGCCTGAGGCCCAACATCTACCAAGTCGTCAGCGAAGTTTGCAGTATGCGTGGCACTCCAGTCCCCATCAAAGATGTTGGTTTACCCATACATGACTGCGACTAGTGACTTGCTGACAGTCTACAGATTTATGCGCACCGAACACAATCCGAAGCTGGACGCAACCAAAAACTTCCCGATCTCACGCCTGTAGCCTCGCCGCCTCCAGCGGGCATCAGTCGTGCATCGCCCATCAAGCAGAAGCAGTATATCCCCGAAATTGCTCCAATGAGACGTGGCAGACCGACTGCTGCACCCCAACCCCAGGCTGCAGCAGCATCCTCTGCTAAGAACTCGGATCCTTTTGCTGCTCTCGATTCTGCCTCAAACACCATTCGATCCCGTGCTGTAGATGAGCTCTCAGCCAAGTTTCCCTCGCTGGATGAATTTTCCATCGCACACGAGTCAGGGGGCTTCAACTTCGGTTCGTCCAAGCCGCAGAGAAACGATCCTGTTACAAGCGCATTAGCAGATGAAGTCTTTGCTCGTCCTGCTTCAGCGAGGGATACGCCTCCTCCGAAAACCGAGTCCGCACCACCTCAGACCCTGAACAAGCCTGGCACAAAACCCGAACCGAGCGCGAAAGCCCAAGCACCTCCCAAACCCAAGACACTGCTGCACCAGCCAGCGCCTCAAAGGCCGGGTTACTCTTCCACTGGCACCATGACCTCTACCTCCGAAGCTCAACCCCCACAGCCAATCCTGCCAAAGATGCCGGATGTGAGCAAGCGACTAATCTGGCGCGTGCCGGAGCACTCGAGATCCTCAAGCCAACCTCGTGCCTCCCCTCTGGCTCAGATAGAAGCCGACAGACTCCAGCCTAGTGCACCTCCCGCGCAAAGGCCTGTGTTGCTAGACTCTCACCGATCAAAGTCGCAAACTGCCACGATGACAATTGCGAAGCAGACAACCTCATCGAGACCATCATTGGAAGGCCACAGACCCTCGTTCGGATACGAGGACGGTATCAGCAGAGCGCGATCTGCCAACTCGAGGCCACGACCTGTTAGTGCTGCATACGTGGATTCGAATCTTGATTACCTGCGAGAACAGGAGGCAGAGAGGAAGAGGCCATCACTCGAAATCAGGAGATCGAGTCGATCAATTAAAAGCACCGAGATCAATTTCGACGACGCAAACATCGAGAGCGACGCCGACTATCTCCGAAGCCTGGAGAACAATGATGGACTGAGTCGTAGGAGTAGTGGCAAGGGTGCTGCTCACAACAAGCGCTCCAGTATGTCTTCGTTCAGCCTCAGTGGAACCAAAAACATGCTACAAGGCAGGTTTGGTGATGCTTTCAAGAGATTTGAGCAGACTGGTGGGGAGGTAAAGACTCAGAAGAGCGGAAGAGCGTCAGAGTCAGGATTCCGGACACCAAGCCCCAACCCCCAGATGCAGACAGAAGGCAACCTGCTGAGTCCAATCTCAGGCTCCGAGACCAACGAGACACCACGACGTCCTGAAGTCTCCAACGCTGACATCGGAGACCTGATCGAGACGGAGGACTTGCCGCCAGAGATGCGTAGAGAGATGGAGAGACTGCAACTTGCACAGGAGGAGAAGCGTGTCGCAGCAGCAGCAGCCGAGCACAGGAACCGCGGAGGTGCACCTCCGATACCTTCCAAAGCAAACATGATTCAACAGCGCGTTCAATCGTTGTTGGACGATGGGCAGCGGTCTCCTGTACGCAAGAGGCAAGCAGAGGGCTATGGACGTTATACAGAACCAACCGAGGCTGCGGAGCCTTTGCAAAAAGCAGCACCTCCGACCCAACCAGTTACCAAAAGACAAGCTCCGCCTGTCGCTAGAAAGCCAGCTACACCTGTACCTGCAGCTGTTGCCGGACCTGGAGAAGTGGACATGAACCTGAGATATCACAAGGTCAGACAGTCTCAGTCGTTCCCAATTCCAGCCGGCACATATCCATTGGAACATTCGGTCTCGGCGCCAGCGCAACGCACAGGAGCCCCGAGGCCGAACACACCTGCCAAACCAGCAGCGCTCAAGACTGGCGGATCAGCAGTGTCGCAAGGACGGCCGCCATCCTCGGGAACGACAAAGGCCGCATACAGCCAGCCATCGGGAACGACCCGTGGTTCCAGCCTTGCAGCGCTGATTGCACGCGACAACGAAGGGGTTGCGGGAGTCGGCGCTGGCATCAATGTTGGTATGGAGCAAGGGATGCGACAGGAGTCGGACTTTGCCAACCAAGCGGATTTCGATGATTGGCAAGCCGACTTTAGCAAAAGATACCCCAGTCTGAGTGGTATTGAGATGGTGGAAAGGGAGATAGCGGCGACGGGTGGAAGCAGAGATGGTGGACGACGTGGAATGCGAGTCAGAGACGTATAAGGAGATGATCAAGGTGTAATATAGACATGTTGGAAGGACTGTCCATGTATAAAGGTCATGTATAAAGTAAGAAGGTGTGGCTTGTGGCTTGTGTTTGTGTTTCAGGTTTGCCGGCGGCTTTTCGACGAAAGTCCGACGACTGCCCCAAACGCTGCCCCCACCTTCCGCATTACAAACATCGCACGCCCTCGCGCCTGTTCTCTCTATTGTTGTCCGTTCAAGCGATAGACGCACCACGCTATTGTTGTCAAGGAAGAGAAGGAACCGTCCCAGAACAAGCGCAGACAAGCGGCGCCAACAACTCGAACAACCTGGACGCAGGAGCGTCATCGTCATCACAAGACGCGCGCCCTCCCCTCCGCTATACACGGAACGATACACACGAGACACGACCACCATGGCGCCGTCCACCGAACGCCCGCGAAGACAGCGCCGTCTGTCCAATGTCACCAACTCGTCCTTCTCATCCACATCTCCCGAACGCGAAGTCGACGATGACAACGATTCGTTCATG